GTGTGTGTGTGTGTGTGTGTGTGTGTGTGTGTGTGTAGTGTTGGAAGTAAATGCCTAGATTTCCGGTTAAAATAATACTGCCAAATTGCCCTCCAAGAGGAGCTGTAACAATTAATATGAGCATGGTTGAGGTCTTCAAGATTACCCTCAGGTTCAATGATCATAGAAGGACTCCTAGAACTCAAAAAACTGCCATACTCATGGTTATGGTTTATTACATTGAAATGATACAGATTAAAATCAGCAAAGGTTAAAAAAATCAGCAAAGGTAAAAGGTACATAGACTAGAGTCCAGGATAGATCAGGCACAAGCTCCAGTTGTCCCCTTCTAATGGTGTCTTTTGTACAGTGTTTAATACTCCCAGCCATGTGAGATAACACATGAAGTATTGCCAATCAGGAAAGCTCATCCAAGCTTTGGTATCCAGGATTTCTATGAGGGGCTGGTCACGTCTCCATGGAGTATATATATGGTTGGCCTCAGTTACTCAGTCTCTAACCTCTCCTGTTAAAACTGATAGCATATGGTACAAGTCCCTCTACCATAAGTCACATTAGTGTAAATTATCTGGTGTGACCCAAAGCCCCAAGTAGACGATAGACTCTTATCAAACAGGATAGTCCAAAGTCTGAGAGGTTATCTTCTAGGAGTTTTACAAGGGTCTAACTTTTCTTTGGTATGTGCAGAGTTTGGACAACCCAGGCCTTCTGAGTTAATCCTTCATTACACCGTAAGAAGGCGTGTTTTTCCATATACCCATAAACACTGTTTAGTTCCCTGATTTTCAACAATCTGGTGTTGTTTGCTTTATATATGTTATTTTTTAATTTATATTCTTTATTTATTAGTGACATGGAATATCTTTACATATATTTATTGGCTATTTTAGTTTTTATATTTATTTTTTTGTGGTAAGAGCACTTAGCATGAGGTCTACCCTCAGCATATTTTTAAATGTGCAATACTGTATTGTTAACTATAGGCACAATGTTGTTATAAATCTTACTCATCCAGTATTATTGAAGCTTTAAATATGTTGATTAGTAGCTCCCCATTTTTCCCTCCTGCTGGCTCCCAGCAGCCACCATTCCACTTTCAGAGTTGGACTCCGGAAATTTTAGATACTTTATGTAAGTGGAATCATGTAGTATTTGTCTTTCTGTGACTTCATTTAGCATAATGTGTCAGGGTTTATCCATGTTGTTGCATATTGAAGGATTTCATTTTTTAAGACTGAATACTATTTCTCTGTGTGTGCGTGTGCATGTGTGTGTAGCACATTCACTTTGTATCATTTGTCCATCAATGGACATTCAGATTGTTCACACATTTTCACTAATGTGAATAGTACTGCAATGAATATGAGAGTGCTAATGTCTCTTCAAGATCCTAATTTCAATTCTTTTGGGTAAATACCCAGTGGTTGGACTGCTGGATCATGTGGTAGTTCTGTTTTTAACTTTGGAATTTCTATACTGTTCTACACAGTGTTTGCAGCATTTTTTATTCCCACCAACAGTGTACAGGGATTCCAGTTTCTCCACTTCCTTGCCAGAACTTTTTTTTTTTATAATACCCATCATAATAGGTGTGAAATGATACCTCACTGTGGCTTTGATTTTTCATTTCCCTGAAGATCAGTTAACAATGCAATCCCTATCAAAATCCCAATGGCATTTTCATAGAAATAGAAAACAACTCTAGGTGTGCCTGGGTGGCCCAGGTGATTAAGCATCCGACGCTTGATCTCAGCTCAGGTCTTGATCTTAGGGTTGTGAGTTCAAGCCCCATGTTGGGTTCTGTGCTAGGTGTGAAGCCTACTTTAAAAAACTAAAATATAAAAGGAAGGGAGGAAGGAAGAAAACTGAATGGGAAAGGGAACAGAAGTGAAGGGGGAAGGGAAGAACTCTAAAAGTCAGATGGAATCACAAAAGACCAGATAGCCAAATCAGTCTTCAGAAAGAAGAACAAAGCTGGAGACATCACACTTTTTGATTTCAAAATGTATTACAAAGGTAGAGTAATCAAAAAAGGACAGCACTGGCATAAAGAGAGACCTAGAGGCCACTGAAACAGAACAGAGAGCCCAGAAATAATTCCATGCATATACAGTCAATGAATCTTTGAAAAGAGTACCAAGAATATACAATAGAAAAGGATAGCCCTTCAACAAATGTTGAGAAAATTGGATATCCACATGAAAAAGAATGAAATCGACCCTTAACATCTTACAGTATGCAAAAAAAAAAAAAAACCTCACAATTTATTATGGATTAAAGACTTAAACATAAGACCTGAAACTGTAAAACTCCTAGAAGAAAATATATGGAAAAAGACCTTGCTATTGTCAATGATACCATGGATATCATGCCAAAGTACAGACAGCAAAAGCAAAAATAGATAAGTGGGACTACGTCAAACTAAAAAGCTCTGTGTGGCAAAGGGAACAATCAAAACTGAAAAAACAACCTATGGAACAGGAAAATATTTGCAAACCATATGTATGATAAAGGGTTAATCTCTAAAAT